TGATATATTAGTGTATTCTAAGTTGAAGGAGGAGCATGATGTTCATCTTCGTGTAGTTCTTCAAACGTTGCGAGATAAGAAGCTTTACGCGAAGTTTTCAAAGTATGAGTTTTGGTTATCTGAAGTAACATTCCTTTGACACGTGGTTTCGATAGAGGGCATTCGGGTAGACCCACAAAAAGTTAGAGTTGTAGTAGAATGAGAGATTCTGAAAAGTATGTTGAAAGTTCGAAGTTTCTTGGATCTCGCAAGTTATTATCAGAGGTTTGTCAAAAACTTTTCGATGATATCTCTGCCTTTAACCAAATTATTAAGAAATGATGTACATTTTGAATGGACTCCTGATTTTCAGAAAAGCTTTGAAACATTGAAGAAAGTTCTGACTGAAGCTCCGGTGTTTGTGCAACATGAATCAAACAAGGATTTCACAATTTTCAGTGACGCTTCCCATATTGGTTTGGGCTATGTTTTAATGCAATATGGAAAGGTAGTTGCTTATGCCTCGAGACAGCTGAAGCCTCATGAAAAGAATCATCTGACACATGATTTGAAGCTAGCAGTTGTGGTCTTTGTATTGAAAATTTGGCGGCACTATTTGTATGGCGAACGTTGCTACATCTTCACCGATCACAAGAGCTTGAAGTATTTGTTGACTCAAAAGGAGTTAAATTTAAGGAAAAAAAGGTGGATGGAGTTATTGAAAGATTATGACGCGATCATTGATTACTATCCAGGAAAAGTTAACGTTGTAGCAGATGTTCTCAGCCAGAAGACTTTTACTGTTTTGCCTAGTTTGAACGCTCGGTTGATGGTAAATGAAAATGGTGCATTGATGGCTGAATTAAGATTAAAACCAGTGTTGTTGGATCGGATCGAGGAGTTATAAAAGAAAGATGATAAGTGTTTAGCTTGGTTTGATCGAGTAGAGAAATGTGGACTTGAGAACTTCGAAGTTAAGTCAAACGGATGCTTATATTTCAAGAATCGTGTGTATGTCCCTAATGACTTTGAGATGAAACGAGATATTTTGTATGAAGCACATTATAGTCCCTTATCGATATACCCAGGAGGGAACAAAATGTATCAAGATTTGAAAGAGTGTTATTGGTGGCCTGGTATGAGGAAATATATTACAGAATTTGTAGCAAAGTGTTTAAATTGTCAACAAGTGAAAGCTGAGCATTAGGTGCCTTCCGGTTTGTTGAAACCCATCTCAATTCTGTAGTGGAAATGTGAAAACATTACGATGGACTTCGTAATTGGTTTGCCTTATTCGCCGGGTAAAAAGGATTCGATTTGGGTAATTATTGATCGTCTTACAAAGACTGCTCATTTCATTCTTGTACGAACAAACTTCTCTATGGAGAAATATACGGAGTTATATATCAAGGAGATAGTGAGGCTCCATGGTATTCCAATCTCGATAGTTTCTGATATAGATCCTAGATTCACTTCGAGATTTTAGAAATCTTTGCAAAGAGCTTTGGGTACCCGATTGAATTTTAGCACGACGTTTCATTCCCAGACTGATGGGCAATCTGAGATAACAATTCAAATTTTGGAAGATATGTTGAGAGTGTGTGTGATCAATTTTGCTGGATCGTGGGAAAAATATTTTCCGCTTGTAGAGTTTGCATATTATAATAACTACCAATCCAGTATAAAAATGGCACCTTATGAAGCGTTATATGGAAGAAAGTGCATAACACCCCCAAATTGGTATGAGTTAAAAGACCGGGAAGTGTATGATCCAGACTTGATTAAAGAAGTGGAAGAAAAGGTTCAAGTGATTCAACACAATTTGAAAGTTGCCTCAGACAGATAAAAGTCATACGCCGATCTGAAAAGGAAAGAAATTGAATTTCAAGTGGGTGATAAGGTGTTTTTGAAAATATCACCTTGGAAGAAAGTGTTTCGATTTAGGCGTAAAGGAAAGTTGAGTCCTAGGTTTATTGGACCTTATGAAATTTTGAAAAGGGTTAGACCTGTAGCCTATCAGTTAGTGTTGCCACCAGAGATGGAAAAGATTCACAATGTCTTCCATGTGTCTATGTTTCGGCTATATCGATCTGATCCTATGCACATCATAACTCCAGATGAAATAGAAGTTCAATCGGTGCAGATTCTAGCTTTCGAGATCAAGCAGTTACGGAATAAAACGATCCTACTAGTGAAGGTTCTTCGGAGAAACCATAAAGTATAAGAAGCTATGTGGGAACATGAAGAAGATATGAGGAAGCAATATCCCTACCTTTTAGTGTAATGAAAATTCGAGGACGAATTTTCTTAAGGGGGAGATTTGTAACATCCCAATTATCGGGTAAGTGATCAAATTATAGGAACTTATAAATTCAATTGTTGAATTAAAATAAAGTGATAAGTTTAGTGATTTATGGAGGAATTTTGTGTGTTGGGTATTATAGCAAATATGAATGTTTAACAAGGGCAAAATGATAATTTGTATGGGAATGATATTTTAGGATAAATATGAGGTAATGAGAGAAGAGTTGAACTCTTTCCTTCTCTTCTTCTTCTCACCGTGGACACCAATGACAAAGGTAAGGATCTAAATTTTTATTTTTCCTTTAATTTCTGGTTTAGTAATGGAAGGTTGGTTATTATATAAGCGTAAGGAAAGCTAATATATCACTAAAACAATAAGATGAGTATTTTAGACAAGGATTTGTAAAATGGGTTTTTTATGAAATTTTGTTATGGATGAGTTTTTGAAGTTTAAATAATATTTTGACTTGTCAATAGGTTAATTAAAAGATTAAGAGTGATAGAATTGGGTAATAACATGTTTGAATGTTGAGTATGATTTGAAGATTCAAGTGTTTAAATGAGAATTTGAGATGTTTGAGAGTTATAAATGTGTACAAGTTGGTTTGAAGGTATAAAGGTGAGTTTATAAACTCAAAGTATATGTTCAAGAGAGTTTTTGGGTGGATTTTAGGTGATTTTCGAGTTGAAAATGGTCATTCTGGGCCTAGTGTATCGGTACCCTTAGGAGAGATATCGATACCTCATGAGTTGAACATGAGTATTTGTATGAGTGTGTTTTGGTACACCGAGGAGTGTATCGATACCCTCAAAACATCGAATGCCATTTGTGTATCGGTACACTGAGGAGTGTATCGATACCCTCAAAACATCAAGTGCTATTTGTGTATCAGTACACTGAGGAGTGTATCGATACCCTTAAAACATCGAGTGCTAATTTTGTATCAGTACACTGAGGAGTGTATCGATACCCCCAAGTATGAAATGAAATATAAGGTTCTTGTATATCAAGTTATTATGATTCAATATAATTGAGATGAGATTGATATTAATTCTAGATTATTTGTGTAGAGACTGAATACAAGTGAATTTCCATTCAACTTGGCATTTCGAATATCGACTTGAAAAGATTTGGATTAGATTTTAGTGAGGCAAAGGTGAGTGCAACTTCTTTTTTCGTAATAGAATTGAGGAAGGCTTGCGATAAGCCAACCTCAGTGTTTTCGATCAAAAACTATATATATTTATTTTATGTTTTATTTAAATGTTTTATTCAATTTCAATTGTTACAAACTATGTATTATGAATATGTGTTATGAACATATGAGCTTCAAACCAGTGAATGTGAATATATTCTATGACAGAGAAGTTATGTGAATAAGAAAACTTTGAATAAGAATTAAACCTAATTATGTGATTAAAAGCCCAATGTATATATGTGAGGATTAGAGATATAGTTGGCATGCCAAGAGTCGAGGGTCTATGTGGTCTTTCGGGACAATTATGTGATCTTTTGGGACAATTATGTGGTCCTCCGGGATAAATATGTGGCACTTTGGTGCAACCTATGTGGTCTTTCGGGACAATTATGTGGCACTTCGGTGCAAATTACGAGTTGTGGTGACAACATTAGTGTACAACCTCATAGTACTCAAATACCTAGATTTATCAATAGTATACTTTGGGCAATTGGAACAAATACATACAGAGTATAATTAATCATCAGTATACTTTTGATATGGAATTCAAGGAAGCTCTTTGAAAAACATTTTTAATAAAACAAAGAAGATTCTTGTTAATAAGTTAGCACTATTGTATTGCCTCACTAAGTCATCGACTTAGCGTGTGTTCTCTCACGCGAAGGTTTAAAGAAGGTTGACGATTGATCTGGAGTTGAGGATAGCATATGTTTCTGAAGATCAGATCATTGCAAATTAAATGTAGGTTGTTGCTTATTTTGTAAACTGTTGGCATGTATTATATGTTTAATTTGAAATGCTCTGGTCGATTTTGTAAACATATATATTTTGTATTTTGCAAACTCTTACTTTTAAGGTTATCTATGTAAATTATTAAGATGTTTTGTGAAATGATTTCCGATTTAGAATGGTATTATTTTCTTTATTTTGATTGAAACAATAAGTTTTAAAATTATGCCTAATTGTGATTTCCGTATGTTTGAAAAGTCAAATGTGGCACCTCGGATTCGTATCTGGGTCGGGTACTGGTCAGGGGTGTTACAGATATTGAAAGAGATATTTTTTATACTCCGAGTTAAGATATAGATATCATGTATTTCTATCCTTTGTGATCTCTATGTTTACAGTGAATGATTGTTTTCTCATCTTTGAAAGTAAAAAAGATTCAATCGCGTTAAATCTTATATCCTACATGTGTCTTTCTACATATTGATATCGTTTTGATTATTTTTTTTCGCTTATATATTCCTAACAAAGATTTATACAACTTAAATTTCCAGCTATGAAATTGCATGATATTCACACAAATACACCAACTAACGGAAGTTGAAGATATATAATAAAATTCCCATTAAATGATCATTGAGGAAGCAATAGAATTAGAAACAACACAAACATATATTTTCAAGAACACTAAGACCAGAGACAGAAAACTTATTATATATAAATGACATATTGGTAAATCAAGTAAAATCTAGGTAATGCTTTCCTAGTATGGCAAGCCTAGCTACTACCTTCATTAAAGCTTTATATATATGTATATGTATATAATATGTGTATATATATATATATATAAGCAGATGCTTTTCCCAATTCTAAAAAGCTTGTTTTCCTTTATGTCCACAGCTAGATATTCTTACTAAATCCTTACAGATTCCAGTCTCATAGCCCTTTTGATCATCTAAAAGAAAGCAAGAATCTGATCCCAATCTTTACTTTACATCTTTGGCATCCACATTTTTCCTTTGTGTCAAAGCCAATGTCCCTCTCAGCATCATTTTCCCCATAGCTCAACTTTTCCTTTGCTATATCATAATATATGAATACTCAGTAATTGCTTATATATATATAATCATATAATATTACTCTTCATTTATTTAATCTCCAGGCTAACCTCATTAGCAACATTTACTTGATCCATAGCTTGAATGATGCAATGGAGTTCTTGGACAACATCTTTCATGCCGGGTCTATCTGATTTCTTCTCTCTTAAACATGAAAATGCAAGCTCTGAGAAAAGTTCAAAACTCTTTAGCACATCAGCTGAGGGCTCCTTGTTAAGAAGCTGTTGATCCACAACTTCCATGATTGCACCATTGCTGGCCCGTTGGCTGACATAGATAGCCAAATTCACATCATCTTGATCTCTTGAGAAATCAATGGCCCTTTGTGAAGTCAGCAACTCGAGCAACACCACCCCATAGCTATAAACATCACTTTTATCTGTCAACTGGTAGTTCCTGTAGTACTCAGGATCCATGTACCCGAGTGTCCCCTGAGCACATGTCGAGACGTGGCTCAAACCCGGGCTAGCCAGTCTCGACAACCCGAAATCTGAAACTTTGGTGTTGAACTCGTCGTCTAAAAGTATGTTGGCGGACTTGACATCCCTGTGGTAAATAGGGGTGTATGCTGCAGAATGCAGATAAGCCAATGCCTCAGCCGTTTGCAAAGCGATGTTCAGCCTTGTTTTCCAGTCTAAAAAGGTGGGATACTTCCCATGCAAATGATCACTCAAGGTCCCATTTGAGATATACTCATAGATCATCAATGGCTGCTCAGCTTCCACACAACAACCTAGGAGTCTGACCAGGTTCTTGTGGTTGACTTGTGACAGAATCCCAACTTCATTGAGGACTTGTTGTGTGCTTTTAATGTTCCCAACTTTGGCTGACTTAACAGCAACAATATCCCCACATGGAAGCTCACCTTTGTAAACCTCCCCGAACCCACCACTTCCTAGGAACCTGTCTCGAGAGAAATCATTTGTCATCTTCTTCACCTCTTTTAACCTAAATATCTTGGCTGGTTTCCCACCATTGCTTGATTTCAACATGTCTTCCCTTTCCTTCATTAGCTTCGCCTTTGCCTGCTTAGAATTCCTCCATGGTTTCCTTGAAGTAATTGCAGCAACCACAATGGCTAGTGTGAAAAAGGAGATCATTCCAATGGACGCCTTCAAGCTAACACTGGCTCTTTTACTCTTCTTCTTTCCCGAGCAAGTTCCAACAACAGGGTCCCAATTGTATCCCTTGTTGCAAAGGCAACGAGATAGGCCATTTGAGGCAGTAGGTGAACACTTTGAAGCCCCAAGGCAATCGAGTTTGGTTTTACAAACGGGTTCAAGTGGAGGATCCCATTGGATTTCCAACCCTTCTTCCCATTCATAAGCAGCCTTTTGTGGATCCAAATGAAGGATGCTTCGAAAAGCTTTGCAGCCTGAGCTGTGAAGCCGTATTTTGTACGCCGACGGCATTCCCCCGGAGACGAACATGCAACATGGATCGACCCCATTAGCACACTGCAATGCTCGTTTGGCCTCCACGTGTCCGGAGCTCTCCAGATAACGGTGACAAAGACTGGTGGGAGTGCAGTTCAAAGGAGACATCAAAAGGCGTGGGGAACAATTGAAGAGAAAGATTGTGTTCGATGATGTGATGTTAAAAGGAAGCGTTTGGTTCAACCATATGCCCTCACTCACACCCATATCTCGAGTCTCGCATTGACCAGGCAACCATGGCGATGGTTGAACCACCATGCGGTAAAACGAAGCCATGATTCGAGTAACAACGTAAGAACTTCCATTCAAGGCATCAAAGTAAAGCTTACGTGACTGAGAATCACAGCGAAGAGAGTAGCCAGGGTCACCACAGCCAGGGTGAGTGCTTAGAGGATAAGGAACCCCCATTGAACCACAACTCGGACAAGCTCTTTGGGAAGAGCAGTAATGGCCGCCATGGAGCAAAAGAAAGACAACATAGATGAAAATAAAGACTGGGTTCGCCTTGAACTCAATGGAGACCATGGTGAATCAACAAAGGTGGGTATGGAAGAGCAAAGGGAAGCGATGGTGGGGGGCTAATAAATGGAGTCGAGAAAGAAGAATAAAACAGGGATAACTAGATCATAATGATGAAAAGTTGGCTGAAAGAATCTAGGTGAAAAAAAACTTCACATATCTTTTGTCATTTATAGGAAAGGTAGATTCCTTCTGTATGACATCCATTAGGGGAAGGTGGTGGTAGCTATGTTCTCTTCACAATGCTTGGTATTAGCAATAAAGGCTCTTTTTTCTCTTCTTCTTCTTCCCCTTTAATGGGGTTGAAGAACAGATCATAAAGGAGTAAATTCCATAACATAATTAATAGCCACGCACTACAACTTTCAATGCTGATCTCTTAAAAACTTACAAGTGGCTTGCACAAACTCCTTCATCCACAAACAATGTGTGTGTCTCCGTCTCTATATATACACGTATATATTTAAAGTTAAATTTTGGTTTTAGTCCTTCTACTGTGTTACAATTTAGAATTTGGTATGCGTACTTTACTTCCACATAATTTAATCTTTTTATTTTTATAATATTATCGGTTAGTCGAAAAGTATGAATTGCAGATTATTCCTATTAAGATGTGGAGTTTTTTTAAGAATGCCCTTCAACATTTGGTTAAATTGTAAACTTTTAATGGATCAAGTTGTTTGATTGAAGTCCTTTTAAAAATACATTTAAATATTCTTTTTATATGTATTTTTTTTAGAAAAAAAAATTGCATGTCAGTGTTTTTAATAGGAATAGTTGATGTTATTAACCATTTAGATTGATTAATAACATTATGACAGTATGAGAATTAAATTATATCCAATTAAAACACGTACTAAATTTTAAATTTTAGCATAGTAGATGGACTAAAATAAGAATCAGAGCTATATAATGCTAATAAAAAGGTGTTTTTATGAGCATCATGTATGCATTGAATTAGGGCCGGCTCTTCGGGAGAACCGCTCAAGGTCCTTTTATTTATAATAAGGGCCCATAACTTTTGTATATTTATATTAGGAGTTCCTTATTTTTTTATTTTCATAATTCTTTTTTTTATTTTTGACCTTCTTCTTCCATCTCTTATTAATTATTTAGTTTTGAATTAAATTCAATAATGTTTTCTCCTTTTTTTTTTAATTTCATTCTTCAATTTATCAAATATTCTTTAATTTTTACTCTTCTCTAATCTCAATCTAACGATAAATAATATACAATTTATTTATTATTCAAAATGAAGCTTTGTATCATACCCACATTCAGTTTTTTATATTTATTCTATCTTAATTGTATTTAAGTTGTATTTTAATAAAATAATAAAAATAATATCTTTTTGATAAAATTTAATCATTTTTATCGTTCATTATACACTAAATTAATTATTCAAAATAATGAAATATACTTCCATTTTATAAGGGCTTTTTAAGTTTTCGTTCAGGGTCTCGAAAATGTCTAAGACAACTTTGCATAAAGAGAAAGTAAACAAAAAAGTGTTATGGTAGAGCACGAACTAAGTTATCTCAGTGGTTAAAGAGACCGTTGTTGGCTCTAAAGGTTCCGAATTCGAGCACTAACATTTGTAGATGTATTCAGGCGTTCATCGTTAAATAATTTAGAATTTTTAGAATAAATACTACCATATAAATTGTAATGAGTTCACTTTAATAGAAAAAAAAAAGTGTTATGGTACATAACTAAACCAGCGGCATCAGCATCCGGAGCATGTTGCTTCCCATGTGTGTTAATGCGACGGCACATCGGTGGCCCTCTCCCAAAGAATGTTGCAGCTTGTACTTCTCAATGTGATCCAGCAAAACCTTGCAATCATCAATTAAAATAAGTTAATGATAATAAATGTGTTGCGTCGGTTGTCGGTGGAATACTTCAAGAGAGATTTCTTTTTCAGTTTTTCCTCAGAATATAAATATTTTGATCGTAAAAATTTGATGTTAGATCGAATATGAAAATAAAAGATCTGTTGAATAATCGGGTAAAGAAAACAAAAAGAACACAAAAATTTTAACGAGGTTCAGTAATTTGTTTACGTCCTCGGTGCCCTTAGAGGCGCTAGATTTTTCATTTAATATATCATAGGTTTTTGGTTATCTACTTTATAATAAATAAACTCTGGTACATATTTACAAAAATAACAATGTACCGTACTGCGGCGGCTGCGCCCTGCACCCCCAACCCACATAATCGTAACCCCCACTACAAGATTTTCTTTGTAAGGACATATGATGTTCGCTGCGTTCGATTTGCTCACTCCGCTTCATCCTTTGTCCTCTTTATCGGTATATTTATGAGTCATACCTAACAAGATCAAATGTCAAAACTAATCGTATCCGAAATATGGTGTCGCAAGAACCAATGGTTGGAATCCAAACGTGGTCCGGGGCTCGAGCAATTGCACCATTTCCGATAGATAAGGCGATGTTTTCCCTTGACTTGCTCCAAGAATTGGAGAGAGCTCGCCATAGCGAAGAGCAATTCGCTTTTGCAATAGAGATAATGGGCAAAGTGAAGTAAGCTCATGTTTTCGGCGTAGAAGCCTTATCCAGTTTGGGTAACAAGAGCAAACCCAATCTTGAAAATGAAAGCCTTTTCTATTTGGCATTATGTCAAAAATAGCCCTCAACATTTATCAAAATAATAATTTTTGTTCTCTATTCTTTCTTTGGCGCATTTTAACCCCAACATTTTATTTTGGGGCAAAATGACCCCTTCGTAGTTGGAAACCGTTAGTTAAAAATGGTTAATGCTCTAAAATAGAGGCATTTTACCCTAAAATAAAACGTTGGTGGGCCAAAATGCTCCAAGAAGATAAAGACCAAAATGACCATTTTGATAAACGTTAGGGACCTTTTTTATCTTAAAATGAAATGTAGATAGCCAAAATGCTCCCAAAGAAATAAAGACCAAAATGACAATTTTAATAAATGTTGGAACTTTTTTGATATTATGCCTTTGTATTTTGTTAGTTTAATCATTAATATATAATTTATAGATATTTTAGTTCTTTCTAAAATTGTTACGGTTTAAGCTCAAAGTACTAAAGATATTTTGTGGATCAGTGTTATGTCATGGTTTTAACTTTTTATTTAAATTCATTTTAAGTTAGTGCTGGGTCATTATTTGTAAAATATAAAATATTTAGATAATTATTTAGCAAAATTTCATATAGTATAGAAATTAAATGAAGTAATCCTAGAGTCTTTTAAAATAAAAATAGAAGTGTACAAATATTTTTAAAAAATGAAATTTTGGGGAAAAAGTAAAATAATTATTAAAACCTGATATTTTTTTTCGTTAATTGAATCAGTTTTATTAAAAGTAGAAGTTTGAGGATCAAAAGAAACTAAAAGAATTTAAGGATTAAAATGATTTTTCAAAAAACGTTTAAGGGCCAAAAATGCAATCAGACCATAATAGACAATATTTGACCATGTAAAATAATAAGCATGTGATTTGCACGGCCGATGTTGTATTTATAACATGTAGATTTATGTCATTGTATTCAATTTGTCTATTTCCACTAATTAAATATGTAGGTATAGTAGGTGAATGTGAATGCTTGATTTTAATATGGAAGAGAGATCTTATTTTTTTTTTAAAACAAATACGTATGGAGAAGATGGACTTTTGATGAAATTATAATTATTATTAGGGTAAGTTACATGTTTAGTATCAAAGTTATCAGTTTTGATCTGTTTGAGTTCTTAAATTTTTATTTTTAAAAAAAAATCATATCTAACATTTAGTTTTTGTTTCATTTAAGGCCCCGTTCGAAATTTAACGTTAAGTTTTGGGGGGGGGGAAATGAAAGTTTAGATATTAAAACGGACCAAATTAAACAATTAAGTTTTTAACAGCGTGGTATTGAAATGAAATAAAAACTAAATGTTAGGTATGATTTTGAAAATATTAAAAGTTTAAGTACTAAAACAGACTAAAACGGATCCTTATTATTATTATTGAGTGGAATTATATTCAAACATTGCGTAAATTTTACCCCTTGGGGTAAATTTTAATTTATTCTTTGCCATTAAATAAATGAAATGACAGAATTTAAGGCAGTGAAAAGCTAGGTCAGATAGAGCTAAGCTTCAGTTTCATTATACTCATAACCACAAGCTATTTTATCAATTTTGATTCACATATTTGTATTAGATTTTCATAACTTCTTATCAGCAATTTGGAATTTATGTTATTTTCTTTCATTTTCAATTGGTTGCATTCCTATTTTAATTTTTTTTATGTTGATGTTGAGATGTACTTGAATTACATACAAGTTTCAACGATTACTTTTTTAATTATAGTTATTATTAATTTATAAATTAAATTAACAATACATTCAATTTAAATTGTAATGTAAAATAGAGTAGATATAATTTTTTGGAAAATAAATAGTTTAATTGCGAGGATTCAGTAATGTATTCAAAGGATAAATTGCTTATTAAGTCAACCATTTATTATTTAGTTTCTGTTTTTATCACTCAACTATTATTTATTTTAAATCACTGTGTTACATTTTGGTTATGTCTTGGTCTCTTGTGTTTAAAAAAATTAGTTGTAATGCTGACGTATCATCATAAGATAATGCAATGCCATGACTAAAAAATAATTAAAAAAATATAATATTAACATTATTGTTATTTTATAACTGTAAGTGATCAATATATATATATATATATATATATTAGATAAAATTTTTATTATGTTTATATTGGTGTTGCTTATAAATTATTTATGTATTCGCCACTGAATATATTATACTAAAAATTAAAAATTAAAAAAAGAATTAATTTTAATGGAATTTTCCATGGTCACCTAATGACCAGGAGTGATGATCGATATTAAAGGATGTGAATATAATCAAAATTAACTCTTTTTTTTTCCTTGAATTTGTCTTATTTTTTATATAAAAAAAACTTAACAACTGTTAATTATTATTGAAATCACATTGTTTCTTTCAAAATAAACGTAAAAATATTAATTAAAAAATGATGATTGAGA